GCAAAGAACGAAGAAAGAGAGCTTGCTAGCTCAACTCATCGTGGTCAAATCCAACGGCGGCTATGGACTGAGACCGACTGTCCTGTAGTGCCTGGTGCCCCTCTACGGCCTCGACTCCAGTCCTCCTCCCAGCCGTCAGTTCGATCGTCGTCACAAGCAATCTCCCGTCCGAGGTAGAGATCGGAGGACGGCCGGGGGGGACTGGCGCCAAGAGTGGTAGGTGCCTGACCCGGCACGACAAACGGCGACGGCCGGCGCACGAGAGCTAGCCCACGGCGGCCGGGACTGCTCCGGCGGGATGCCACTGCGGTCTGCGGCGGCTCGCTCGCGGACGCGCGCGCCGCTTGCAATTGCAGTCCACAACCACATTGGTGCGCAGCTAACGGGCTGGTAGTGGTGTAGGGTAGGTGCACGACGAAGAGCCTGACCGTTCGCCGTTTGCTTTATTTTTTTTATGGAAAGTTCGTCGTTTGCTTTGACACTGACCTGACCACCTGGCGGTTCTTCAGCGTCTCCGGCCTCCGCCGCGCCTGCGACCAAGCCACCTTAAACAAACTTTACAATGCAGCAGACTGTAGACTGATGACCACAGCTGATCTCAAAGTGTTGGATCTCCCTGGGCCTGTTATGAGAGCCTGGCCCACAAAGAGCCCATTTAAGGCGTCAGTTGCATCTTCTTCCGTGTTGACCTTTTCGTCGGCAGTGAGTGATGTTCTGCCTCAAACATCCTCCATCCTCGCAGATTCCAAGCCCTACTCCGATGACCACTCCCTTTCTTCTCTACCGCACAGCCTATTATTGTTTTTAAACAACACAGCCTATTATTAGTTACACCAATTTCCTCCGTTTCTGCAATCAAATAGACTTGATTACAGGCCACCAAACCCGAGCAACCCGATCCGGGCCGCCCACAATAAATCTCACCTATTTGTACCTAGGGTTGGGTGTTCAAATCATGATTTTCGACTCATAACCCAATCTAACTAAAAAAAATTCAAGAAATGGCCCGATATGACCAGCCAGTGAGTTGAATCAGGCTCAGATCAAAGATGTTAACCTGATTTTTCCCCCCCAAACTCGACCCGGATGTACACTAAAACAATGCACAATTAGTGTTCTTTTTGTCCAGCGAGGTTTTCATTGTCCTTTAAGGCGTACAAACTTTTTGTCCCCCTCTTCTATTCTTATCCCCAAAAAATACACATCTCATTTTTCAATGAGTTAATTGGGGCACGTTTGGACTGTGACCGCACATCGCCGTAACTTAACTGTGGCCACGCCAAAAGCCTGGCGAGCAAAACTGGCGCTAGAGATTTGGCGAGTGGCAGCGTCAAAATGAACTAGCACCATGTAGGCAAGGTGCGGCTTGCCGTAAGTCAGGTCAAGAAGCAAACATCGGCCAACGTTGGCCGATGCGTGCTCTGGAGAGCTGCGGCGTGCTCTACCAACCAAACCCGCCCTTGATCTCAAGTTTGATTTAATATATATAGAACTAATGTTTAACCGAGTACTAGATATCATTAGATTAATCCTGCAATATATTTTCATGATAGACCTATTTATAGGTATAAATATTGATACTTTTTTCTATAAATCTAAGTAAAATTAAATTTGATTGATGACTCCTAAAAAAAAGTGACATGCACATTCTTTGTTTTTGAGACCGAGGTAGTACGTAGACTTTCGTTCCACCTGAACTAAAGGATTTGTCGCGGGTATACAAATTTCTTGACCAAATAATTCTTAACTTCGATTCACTTTACAAGGTGGGATGTAGTACTTTGTAGTTGAATCCCACTAATTAATCGATCACCACCTCTGTTTCGTAGTATTTGTTCTGTTCACTTATACCTTTTTTTCTAAAAAAGAAAAGTTTCGACCTTTCTGAGCGCACACAACTAAATTACAGTCATTTATTTATTTTTGCCAAAATGAATGGGTCTTTGTTGCATTTAGGATACATAACTATTATTCTATAGAAAACATAAATTTTGCATGGACTTAATTTTACTCAAGTATTCTTCCATCTGGGTATGTGTGCCGGATGGACCATGTGAAATGGTGGGAGTATTACTGAAGGTGGGGTTTGAAAGTTTGAAACCCGTTAATCATAACTTCACTTGGGGTTAACTGGTAATGTCAGACTGTCAGTGACCAGCTGCTGGGCCCAGTTCCGAGAAGTAGAGAAACTGAGAAAGCCCATCGCTGGCCATGGCCCATGGGTGATCATCAGTTCATCACTGACGATGTGTCGTCCTCGTTTCTGTGATGATTTAATACTTAAGTAGCGCAAGACTGAAGCTCTAAAGCAAGCAAGCGAGGCGAGCAAGGCGGCACCTTGCGCTTGCAGATCAGCTCCGGAAAAGGAAGCTGGGGAAGAGAGCAAGGAATGAAGCGGAGATACCAAACCCTTCCCTCCCCCAAACTTAACCATACTTCCCTCTGCTTTGCCGGTTTGTCCCCATGCCACTCCTCCAGTATAAATCCCTTCCATCCCGGCCCCGCCGGCACGGCACAGCGGCGCCGGAGTGAGCAGCAATGTCCAGCACCACAGAGGCAGCCCGCGGTCCCCATTATGCCGATGCCGCTCCGACCGCCGCCGGCGGCGGCGAGGCGCAGCACTACGGCCACGGGCGCAAGAGGCGGAACGGCGTGCAGCAGATCCGGCAGGAGGAGCGGCGCCGGAGCTCCGGGCTGGTGTGGGCGCTGGTGATCCTGTGCACGGTGCTGGCCATCGGCGTGATCGTGACGGGCGCCACCGTGTTCGCCGTGTACCTGCATTACAAGCCCAAGACGCCGTACCTGCTGGTCTCCGACTCGCGGCTGGAGAGGCTGGTGTACGACCAGTCGGGTACCATCCGGGACCTGCAGCTGGCGCTGACGGTGCTGGCGGAGAACTCCAACTCCAAGACCGACGCCACCTTCTCCCGCGTCAACCTCGCCGTCGGGTTCCGCGGCGCCGAGGTGGCGCTGCTGCGTGCCGGAACCTTCGCCGTGCCGCGCCGCAGCTTCTTGCCGCTCCGGTATCAGGTGGTGTCGGTGGGGCGGCAGCTCAGCCCCCAGGGGATGGAGGCCATGGCCGGCGCGCTCCGGGAGTCCGTCGTGCCGCTCGACCTCTTTGGCAAGGCGCGCACCACCTGGAAGGTCGGCATCTTCGCCTCGCTCCAGTTCTGGACCCGCATCTCCTGCCGCTTCCTCTTCAACTACCCCGGCAACGGCACCGCCATGCCCATCGATTGCCGCTCCAAGTCGCCGTAGCGTCCCCTCTCCACTCCGGCCTCCAGGCAGGCAGGCAGGAAGGAAGGCAGGCGCCAGCCATTATTCCTCTGCCTGCAGTCTCCTCTGCCGCAACCAACACAATTTGACAGATGCTCATGTCAATGCGCCATTCTTGTACAGACCAAAACAAAAATAATGCTGCTATGATACAGTACATAGATTGATAATAGATACTCCTACTGTGCAGGAACACACATTTGGTAATCTTATCATTATGTATTCATATACTTCAGTTTTCGTCCTATTATTATTAATTGTTGAATTAGTTCACTTTGGTGCCACCGACTTGTGAATTGTGATGAGAAGATGTATATATACCAAATTTCGAGAAAAGATCCCGGCGTTGCCGCGTATGGCTAGTGGACGTGCCCGTTGTATTATAGATGGTCCTTGTTTTGTGTACAAATAAAATCATGTGAAAACATCAATTTTCTTACTTGATCAATGATCTAGTAAAAATATGGGACTATCATATACTCTGGGCTTTGCAGGGGCATGATAAAACTTTCCATATTAATTAAGTAAAGGGAGGTGGAATAGTGTGTTTTTGTCCTGCCTTCTTAGGGTAAGAATTTTTTTTGGCATAAATGGACTTAGGCAGAGAGGAACAACAGTTTTATTGGTCTTGTCCTCTGTCCATGGCTGACCAAACCAGATAAAGTTTTATTGGCATATCAATACAACGAGTACATTTAACTCCTCGCAATTATATGAATTTTGAAAATTACATTTGGTGATATATTTATTGCATACTAAATTTACATGTGACAGAGCTATACTTTAGAACCCAATTGAGGAGTGTAAGTCATGATTTACCTTCAAATTGTGCTACATGCTTATTTAAGTTTTTCTCTTCCAGTCTCCTCCCTTCATTATTTTTTGTCACTTCCGGCTAGGCCATTTAAACGTGGTTAAAACCTTTGAAATAACTGATGCTTGGTAAAAAAAAACGTCAGCCACTTCGGCTCAATCACTGATTGACCTAGTTTGCAACGAAATAAATTCAATTTCGAAACTGTTTTAAGTGTGCATGTTAGTAAAATAGAACACCAATATCTTCCCCAAATTATTTTGGTTGGTATGTACTAATTTAAATTTGATGCCTAAATTAGCTAAAAGCTTATGAACTTTGAACAATTAGATTTTTCACGGAGACCTCGTCCAAATTAGTTTTATGTCCAACCTTAGAATTAAATAACTCGAGCTGTGTTGAGTTTTTTTAGGACGTGCACGTTAACTCGTCCAACTTTTACTGAATGTTAACTCTTTTAACAATGAATAAAGGTACACACGCTCTCTGTTGCTACGTGCTGCTCGCAGGCCGCCCTGCCCGTGCCGCTGTAGGCGTTGCTCCTTGCGAGGCAAACGAGTGAAAGGCTTGGTGTGTGGGGCCCATGTTCCATCCGGTCATCACAGCAGCACGTGAAAGGCTGAGCCAAACTCCATCCTTCATCGATCCACTGCACTGCTGCACCTTCAGCTTCCAAACTATTCCTCCATCTCTCTTCAACACTCCCTGTTCTTGCTAGCACTGCGCACAACGATGCTCTTGAGTTCAAGATCAGATTCAAAAGGAGCAGGACCAAAGTAGCAGCTCTCTCTCTCTCTCTCTCTCTCTCTCTTCCCCAAAATCAACGAAGCAGCAATTCTTCGTCCCCTTCACCTGCCCAGCTCTGTGAGCGAGGCCTTTGGTCAAGCTGAAGTGAGGGCGGCGCGCAGGCATGGTGTGTGTGGCTGCGGTCATAGCCCATCCACTGGAGCGAGTTGCAGCCTCTGCAGCTTGGTCCCGGCCTATGCTCGTCGCAGTCAAAGGAGAGCTCCAGCCCCTGCGGACTGCGGTGCGTGCTCCCCATGGGCGAACTCCAGCCACGGCGCCGCGGCCTCGACGCGTGCTCGTCGCCGACGAGTTGCAGCCTCGGCGCCGTGGCTTCGGCTGGTGGCGGGGGCCGCGGCCGTGCCTGGGCTTGGGCTCGGACAAGGGGAGGCGGAGGTCGTGCTGTGGCGCAAGAGGCGCCGACTTCCTCATCCACCGGCGAGCTCCGTCCAGCGGCCGCTGTGAGGTGAATGCGGGTTGGACCATTGTGCTTCCCCAACTTCGCCGAGGTACGGCGGGCGGAGGGCCCGGCGAAGCGGAGGGGATCACCTCGACTTCTGGATGATTCCAGTACATCCAGATCTATGTGTAACGGGGACGGGCAGAGGCCCGATCCGCTACTGTGCTTTAATGGGCGGGGAGCCTAAAGGCCCGATCCACTGCCTGGTATGTTTTAATGGGCGGGAGGCCCGATCCACTGCTCGGGTCTGGCTTAACGGGTGAGAGGTCCGATCCAACGGTCGATAATGGATGTTGCGGCGATCCGACAGCTAGCGGGTTTACGGGCGATGTGGCCCTATCTGTTCGCCCGCTCTTGGTGCACGAATCGTAATCATACATAGAGAGAGAGATTACTGATTTACTGTAATTTGTAATCAAATTCTGAGAGGAATATGTAATCTCATTCACCTCTCTCTGTTTTCACTCATTTTTTTTTCCGCGTGACGAGGGGAAATTAGCTTGGGCTTCACGTAGCTGCCGTTGGGCCGGGCTTCTATGGACAACATATCGGATGCCATGGGCCGATACGTAAAGCCCAGTAATGATAGCCCATCTACTCGGGCCAGTCAATGGTCAACCAACCAATCGGGCAGTCACACTCAGAAACCAGACACGACACGAGCAGACGAGCCGTCGACCGTCGTGTTCGGATATTTAACTTTTCACCGTTAGTAGGTTTATGTCCATGTCCGTACCTCGCTACGAAATAGCTAAATTTTTATACTAACAATATACGAATCGCACGATAAGATAATAATACTGTGAAATTAAATACTGACGTTAAAGTGATATTTAATCAAAAAGACAAAGTTCGTGAAATTAACAGTCACAGAGAGCGTGGCGTCGCAGGCTCGCAAACTCTATTGTGCGGATTGCAACGCTACAGCAACATTCGGGTGTGCAAATTAGAACCATCGAAAGATATCACAAACTGGTACTCTCTAATTACATTCCAATATTTTCCTTTATGAATTATTACATTGCAACTCTACTAATTACTATATTCTTGAAACACAAAAACGATAGCAACGACCATATATACCTCTAGTCATCATCACCTCGTGAAGCCTCCATTTTGCATGTCCTGAGCTGAACCGCAACGTCCAGTCAGTTCCACCTTGACCACTCAGGGTCAATGCTCATTAAACTATAAATCTAACATCTTTGGAGTGTAAAGCTTAAAATAATCGAAGCCAACCCTTACACAGAGACTACCAAATGAAGAGCCAGAGATGATAACAGAAAGCAGAGATAAATGTTATATCCATACTGCCCAGTTGGCAGTTGCGATATAAAATAACAACCTAACTATAGCAGCATCAAGGGAAGACTGAACAGTAGGCCACAGTTCTCAATAAAAATAATGTATTTTTGTACTTTTTAAGGATTTTACAACTTAATTTCTCTACAAATACGAAATCATAAAGACAATTGTGCATCCTGTTAAGTAGTCCAGTGATCGGCATGTTGTATTTCTATACTCAAAGAAAACAGTACAAGCAAAACTCTACTTCATTCTCTTCTAACTTCTGTATTAATAGCAACAAGTTCGTTTCTTAGATCTACGGTTTCATATAACCAACGAGTTATTTTCTCAGGATGTTCATGAACTGAAGAGCCTTGATTTTAAGGATGGATAGGAGGATCTCACCCGACTTATTTCGATGAGACGATGGAGCAATGACCTCATCAAATGCACACCTCATGGCGTAGTCACCTGCGCCACCGGGCAAAGGAAGGTTGAGTGTCATGCCTTCACCATCACCCTGTCCGAATTCATTAATCTTACCAGTACCAGGGTAGCTTCCAAGCTACACAACACATGAAAAACAAAGACTCTTTCATGGTAAAGTTCAGCACCTAGTTGTACAAAGAGATGTCACAGACACAGAAAACAGAGGTACAAAACCTGGTGAGTTGAGAGGAAGAATATGTCTAGGTCATCATAAAATGCATCGGATGTCCCATTGCCATGGTGAACGTCAAAATCTATTATCATCACACGCTTTAGTCCATGTTGATGCTGAGCGTACGGAGCTACCACTGCGATGTTCCCAAAGATATGAAAACCCAAGGGACCTTGAGGGGAACAGCATGCTGTCCAGGTGGCCTTACTAAAGCAAAGGCAAGGGCGGATTAGGACCTAACTACTTAAGAAAACATGCAATGTTTTTTGGGAAACAACACTGTACAAAATAAAATAAAAAACATCTTTGAAACCATCATTATAGTCAATAGAGAGAAGATTAGTTACCACTGAATCAACCAATTTGATTCCGGCACTAGCTGATAGAAGTGATTCTTGGAAAGTCTATACAGAAAATAATAGAACGACTTAAAATGGTGATATCTAAAATTTAGCATATTCCAGTGGTATGCACATCAATAGGTGAAGTAGACCATGGAACAATCAATGAGTATATAGCAACTTAAAATTATATCGCAGAAAATTTGAGTGATGAAATCAATAATGTCTTATATACTTTAATAGCTTTCTTAAAAGAATTTGGGTGGTGCCTTAGTGCCACTTCAGACTTCATTAAATTGTTCTTCAATGTTAAATTTATGGATCGAATTTTTGCGATTATCAAGAACATCAAAATCATAAAGGCGCTGAATGAATCACCGTTCATACTTCTCATGATAACCGCCAAATAAAAATAACTCATATATAATGCTATCAGTTGTAAGCATGCCGAGTAATACTCTGTCTATTTCCAAGTTCCAACCAAATTAATACTGGCACGGCATAGGAGAGGGCATGCACAATTAACATCAGAAGCATGTAAAAATGAAAAGGGCACATACATAAAGCATTACAGTCTCTGTAGCGTATGTTGGTCCAGTCCCTTCAATAAATATCAGACCTTCATCTGAAGCTCTACCCATAGCCTGTAGCCACATGCTGCCACATATTAAGGAAATTGCAGCATTATTTCAAACCTATCTAATAGGTTTTCACCAGTAGAGAAAAGCAACTTCTTATCAGAAAAGTAAGAATAAATAAGGACAGCATGATGACAGGTACCTTTTTGAGTCCAGTGATGTAAGATCTTGAATGAACACGTGCAACATCATCTAGAGAAGTAGGGTTGAAATTTTGAATTTCAAGAACCTGTGAACCACGATGCTAAAAACTAAATAAATGAGATGACATTTAACTTATGAGTACTCGTCCTTTTCTACTGAAATGCAATTGTACACGGTATAAGAAAGAAACATGCCAAAGCCCCAGAAGGTTTGACTAAAGGCAGAAGGAACTATTGAAACATAGTGAGATAAGACAATGTCCTCAAGTTGATTGCACATGCTATTTCTTTTTATATGATTCAATTTTAGCATGGTTTCAAATAAAGGTAAAATAAAAAAATAAAGGTGTTTTTTAAGATCAAGTTCCAAAAAATAGTTGCGAATATTCGAAGTAGTATTGCCAGTATACCTTGGGACTAAGCTCTAATTTCTCAAGAGCATCAACTATCGTAAGAACTCTTTTGTTAGATTCTAGATATGCTTCCTGAATACCAAAAGAAGTGGAAAATATTATGATATAATGCATAGTGCAGATGAGACAACTTATTACATCGTGATTTATATAGTTCTATGTATTATTTTTTTCTAGAAATTTGTTGCATAGAAAGGTAAAGCATGGTTGTTAGTTAACACCAACCATTTACATAGATGGTGTAGAACTATTGTATATTGTTCAGAAACTCAGTATTTAGGTTTTCAATCTTTTTTTTCAGCAACTCAGTATTTACATAGATGGTCTAGAACTCGGCCAGAAAGTACATGCTAACCTTTTTTGTTCCTTTTGCATAGATCAATAGTGATATCCAAAACAAACACTCGCAGCACAAAGAAAAAGAAAAAGCCCTGGCCATTATGCTGCAGGCATCTTACCAAATGTTGAACCAGCAACAAAAGAACAATACTACACTCACCAACCTGATAAGGGAAAGCCCAAGCCCCTAAAGAGAAACCCTACTAATTCCCGACAGAACGATCATAAGAAAAATGATTCTTGCATAATCCACATAGGTCTAGGCAATAAGCAAAATGAATGCACCAACCACGAATTTAAGAACAAGATATGCAAGAACTTCATAATGATTGGAAGAAACCCTGCGCGTACCATTCGTCCAGGTCCAACTCCAACATCTACATCCTCCTTACGATGCCGCTGCTACCGCTCCACCTTTGTAAGTGCAATAAAGCCCTATTGTGGGTTTTGGCATTGATGACCACCAAATTAGAGGACTAATGAGATTTATCGAGATGACAAGCAGGGAATCGAAAAATGAGGATGATGTAAAGGTTGCAGGTGTCCTAATTACAAAAGGTGGCCAGACATAGCTCAAAGGAGGTTTAAATTCTTTTATGTTTTGAAATTGAGTTTAGGGAAAGCCATACTATTAAGAGGGATTTTAGGATAGTTGGTCAACTGTTGAACCAGATGCTCAAATTCACAGATTTACATCCTCTCACCTAGTTAAAACAGCCAGCCAAATTTCATATCATCTTACCTGTTTTGGCTAGGGCGGCAGTGCCGCCCTGTTAAGAGCGGTAGTGCCACCCTTAACTGACCGTTGGGCTCGAGGGGTATTTATACCTTTCAAGCGCAGCCCATAACGGTCATCTTCTTCACTGAGTCATTCTGCTCAAAACAAGACAGAACCAAAGCTCATTTCTCTTCTCGATTGTTGCTCCACCATCCCTCAAGCAAATTCTTGGTTCCAAACATCAAAACCTGAGAGAAAAGGCAGCAAAACTCGATTGGAGAGCAGATCCACTGATTCCCAATGTCTAAGAGCATTTGGTTCACGTTTGGCCGGCGGTTCTAGGGTTTGTTACTCTTGGAGCTTGCTCCTAGCCGGCTAGGCATCGCCCTTGTGCTTGCCAACTCGTGTGGCAGCCTTGGAAAGTTTGTAACCTCATTCAAAAGCTAAGAAATTGCCTCTCACTTCAAGAGTTCACTCTCTTGATTTGAGAACGAGGGTAAGGCAAGCCTTTGTGGCAAGCTCAAGCCTTTTGTGGCTTCCTTAACAACATGGACTTAAGCAAACCTTTGTGGTGAGCTGAACCACGGGATAAATCTTATGTCTCACGTGCTTCATCTTGTTTACTTGCTGGTTTACCTCATTGCTAGCTATTGTTAGGGTTTAGTTGCTCGATCCACTCTTGTGTAGAGTTTCTATGGTATTCAGTCTTCGAACTAGATCTTATCTTTATATTGCAGGATTAAGCAGCTAGTGGGATCAGGTTCATCTCTGTAAAATCTCAATTGTGTTAGATTTATTTTCGAAGAGCGGCAGTGCCATCCTGAAAGGCCGGCAGTGCCGCCCTCTGTTCTAACAGAGTTTTGAGTTAAATTTTTATAGGTCTATTCACCCCCCTCTAGGCCTCATTTATCTTCCTGTAGATCCTACAAGTGGTATCAGAGCGAGGTTGCTTCGTATACGCTTCACCGCGTGAAGTATGAAAGAAGGAGAAGGTTCGAAGACCATTCGCATTGCGGACGCAAGTGGTGTGCACGTCGAGGATGTCGGCAGCAGCAGCGAGCTGTCCATGTCGACAGCAAGTGATGCCACCATCAAAGAACCCAAGACCACTGATGCTGAAAGAAGAAAGACAAGAAAAGAAAGAAAAGCCGCCAAGATCGCAACAAGAGAAGCTAGAGAAAAGAAAAAGGAAGAGCAGCGGCTCAAAGACAAGAAGAGAAAAGAAGCTAGAAGAATCATAAGAGAGGCAAGAGCCAAGAGAAGGGCAGCAAGAGCTCAAGAGCAAGAGAAGAATGAGTATGATGCATCATCTAGTGAGCTCTCTAGTAGCTCGGATGATGGAGACGATGATGTGTCATACCATGCTTCAAAAGATAGCAAGAAGGTGAATAGTAAGGACAAGAAGAAGGATAGCGATGACAAAGGCAGCAACAACAACAAAAACAAATATGCCGCCGTATCCTTTAATTATTCTTATTTATCTAATCATAACAAAAGGTCCTTTATCAATGTACCCACGGGCAAGTTGCCTCACTTTGATGGGACAAACTTCGCCAAGTGAAAGCACTTGATGAGTGCCTATCTTGTAGGTCTTCACCCCGGTCTTTGGGAGATTGTAGTGAATGGATTGCAGCCACCGGAAGATCCTGAAGCGCCAACAAATGAGGAGCTAGCTGTTGTCCATCTCAATGGCCAAGCCACAAGTATTCTTCTTAGTGCCTTGGATGGAAATGAATACAATCGAGTGATGAATGTCAATGTTGCAAAATAGATTTGGGACACTTTGTATCTAGCACATGAAGGTGTTGATAAAGTGAGAAAAGCAAAGATTGATTTGTTGATGGCTAAGCTCAATAGGTTCGTGATTGTTGATGGAGAGGGGCCACAAGAGATGTTTGATAGATTGATGACCTTGGTGGATAAGATTAGAGGCTATGGATGTGATGAGCTTGATGATCACAAAGTGGTGAAGGTTATGTTGGAAGCCTACTCACCAAGAAATGAGACCGTAGTTACCTTGATTAGAGATAAGAAGAAGTTTGAGCACTTCACACCTAATGATATGCTTGGAAGATTGTTGACATTTGACATGCAAAGAAAAGAAGCCAATGAGAGGAGAAGACTTGGTGAGTTGCAAGCCAAGCTAGAAGGCATGAAAATCAAGGAAGTAGCTCTCAAGGCCAATAAATCAAGCAATCAAGGCACCTCCAACAAGGCAAAGGGCAGCAAGCAAGCATCAACAAGTCAACCCAAGGAAATCAAGTCAATTCCACAAAATGATGATCCAAGTTCATCCTCAAGTGAAGATGAAGATGATGGGGCTGATTACATAAAGATTGATGACATTGCTTTGTTCATGAAGATCTATCACAAGGGGCTAAAAAAGAATGGGTATAAAATAGTGCAAAGAAGGTTCCCAAACAAGAAGAAGAGGACTTGCTACAATTGTGGCAGCACGGAGCACTTCATTGCTAAGTGTCCCTATGACAAGAAAGAAAACAAATATAAGAGGGACAACAATGAAGGCAAGCATAAACACAAAAAGAGATACAAACAAATGGGAGAGGCACACATTGGACATGAGTGGGACTCAACTAAGGAGTCAAGTGAAGAGGATGTGAATGTTGCAACCATGGCCATTCAAAAGCCATCCTCTACATCAAGGCTCTTCAACAACATGTCCGATGATGATGACCACCACTCCACTCACGTTTGTCTTATGGCAAAGGGTGAGAAGGTAAAACGAAGAGCCAAATCTCCTCCACCTCCTAGTGACATCTCTAGTAGTGAACTTAGTGATTCTAGTGATGATGATACTAGTGATATTGATGAATATGCTAAATTGACTAAAAAGTTGGATCCTAAGACCAAGCTCTTCATCATAAATCTAATGGAGGAATTAGAAAGTGTCAAAGTCGAGCTAGCCGATAGAGATGAATATCTTGAGGAAACAAAAAAGATGAATATTGGCTGCAAGAAAGCTCTTGAGTTAGAGAGAAGTGAGGTGGACTCTTTGAACAAGGCCTTGGCCGAAGAGCAAAGAGAACATGCTCTCATAAAGAAGGCAAATATTGCACTCAATGACAAGTATTATGTCTTAGTTGAAAAGCACAACAAACTTGAGAAGCAATGTAATCTTCTATGCGAGAGCACCCCACTTCCCTCTAACACAAATGACACTTCTATTCCTTCCACTAGTGAAGGATGTAGAAAATACTATAATCTTGACTTAAATATTTATTCCACTAACCTTGCAAACTTGGAGGTTATGAAAAAGGAGATTGTTGGGCTCAATGCTATGTTAGGAAAATGGTGCATGGAAGGCAAGAAACCTACTGGTGGCAAAGTTGAAAAAACCAAAGAGGCTACAATACAAAGGTGGAAGAAATCCACGCATCAAGGATGGGCTTGGGCACACTCATGGAGGTAAAACAAATGGGAGAAAGGTAATCAATGGATATGAGTGTGTTCAGTTCGTGAGCAAAGGGCAGGAAGGTATAGATAGGTCTGCACAGATGGTGGCACAAGGCTAGCCCAGAGCAGCACCGCAGCCTATGGTCGGCAGTGCCACTGTGAAGGGCGGCAGTGCCGCCCCCCACAGAAAAGGAAAGACCACCTCCTCCTCTGCTCATATCAAGCCCAAGAAAAAGATGTCTCATTCTGAGCAGGTTGTCCAGAAACTGAAGAAATCTATCTGGGTCACTCTAAATAGATATGCTTATCAACCAAAGTCAAAAGCACCTCAACAATGTTTGAATTCTAACTTTATTTTATAGCACAACAGCAAGGGGAAGTATTTGTCAAGTTTATTGGTAATGGTCGAAATATTTATCATAATACTTTTATTTGGGTTCCTAAAGTTCTTGTGACTAACATGTAAGGCCCCAAGAATATTTGGGGACCTAAAACTAGGAACTAAACTTGTGTTGCAGGCATACTCCTCCGGTGGGTCAAGTTGGGTGCTTGACAGCGGCTGTACAAATCATATGACCGGAGAAAGGAGTATGTTCTTATCATACTCCCCAACTACAAATTCAGATGAGAATATCATATTTGGTGATAATTCAAAAGGAGGTGTGATTGGACTTGGTAAAGTAGCTATTACACTTGATCACTCAATTACAAATGTCTTACATGTTGATTCCTTGAAGTACAATCTGCTGTCCGTCTCTCAATTATGTGAGATAGGCTATAATTGTCTTTTCACGGATAAGGGTGTGGAAGTCTCTAAGAGGGAGGATTCCTCTATTGTATTTACGGGTCGCCTCAAGAACAAGCTTTACCTAGTTGATTTCAGTAAAAGTAAAGCTGAGCTTGAGACCTGTTTAGTGGCAAAATCTAGCATGGGTTGGCTATGGCATCGCCGACTAGCTCATGTTGGG